GTAACAATTTGACTCTTTTCCACCTCATACAATTGAGTAATATATAAAAAATTCAAGTGAATATCTTTTTTCTCTCCAAGAGAAAATTCAGGTGTACTGAAAAAATGTGAAGTGACATTTTTTTTCAAATAATTATATACAAAAACTGATTGATATTTGAAAATACCATAGAGATATCGGCTGTGTATCAGGAGCTGTTTAACAATATCATCAATTTTCGTACTTCTATTAGATAAGAAAAAAGTCTCGAACATTAATTTGACGAGACTTTCAATGGCAGAACGCACTTATCAGCTGTTATCATTCATTATTGCTGAAGTGTCTTATGCATTTCATCAAATAAACGATATGCATTGTCGACACAGAGAAGTGTTGAGAAAATATTATTTTCATATACATTCAACACAGCTCTACAAAATTTATTTTTATTGATCTTTTTTCTCGAACAGTGCAAAGTCTATACTTTTCATTCATATAGATGTTACGCATCCTAACAGACTTATTTATATTTAACTGAAATATACTTTTTTTTCATCAGCGATTTTGCTTGAATCATTAAACTTTTTACTCTTCGACTTGTTTTCTGTTTATTTACAGAAGAATAATCAAAAGAAAAACAGCATTATTTTTTAGTGGACAGCTGTATCAATAATATATATGTATATATAGGATACGTATTGATTACAGACTTTTCTTTGCTAAACATGAAAGAACGAATATTCTATTGAGTAGAAGATAAATAATCAATATCTACATATGAAGAATATTTATATGAATTATAATAATTGTCTTCTCCTACAAAATACGTTAAAATCAATAATAAGAAGTGGAGGGAGAGTGCTCGACTCTTCGTATTTCTTCTTTTATTTTCCTTGACGTTGATTCAGTACATATCAGCTCTTGGTGAAATTTATGCAATTAAATATCAAAATAACGAGAAAACGATATATTGATTATTAATAGTAACAAGTGCATTATTCTTTTACAGAATATTAGTCGGTCTTAATTACGCAAATTCTCAAATCGTTTGCTAATTTCTTATAATGAATGTACAAGATGATGCTGTTGTCTTTCAAAATCAATGTTAATTGAGTACGTGTGACACAATCAAATGTTATGGAATCTGACAGATAAAAACATATTCGACAATGATAATTAATCAAATATTATGAACTGGTAAGATTTTCTATGTGAACAATATATAAAGAGTAAGTATATAGATATGGAAGAGTTCATATTTTACCCTATTTTATCCAATGTCTAATAATAGAGAGACATCATGATATATTCTAGTCAAACACAACATTCAATTCAATTGATATTCAGACAATTAATCAATTGTCAAGATTTCTTTGCCAGAGAACATATCTGTTTTTTTTTATTGATTATTGTATAGATATATATATAAATATATATACTTGGAATAAAAGAAATAAGCGAGTACAGGTCAATGTACCCTTTTGACTCTGTTTTTAAATGGAACATATGTAGAAATCTATTTGCTCGTTTTTTTTCTGTAGTAAAACGAAAATTTTTGATACATAAACATGTATTTATAAGCACAAAAATAAAATAAAATAAAATATTCAACATCCAAGAGAACCCATTCGAAATTGTCGCATAGTCATTGCTTCAATATCACCGGAAGTTAATAATAATTGTTGTCCATTATAATTATTATAACTATTATTATTATTATTATTATTATTATTATTACTGTTATTATTAAAACGTCCAAAACTAAATGGATTAACAATCGATGTTTGTCTCATTGATATTTTTGGTTGATAGTGTTCAATAAAATGTTGATTTTTTAATATTGAAGGATTTTGTTCAAAAGAATTTCTTCTCAATGTTTCATCCGATGAATTTGATGATCGATGTTCAGTTTTAGGATTTGTTGTTTTTCGTAGAACTGTTGTTGCTGCTGATGAACCAACATATTTATCTGATTCCTTAGTCGAATGATAACCACATATTGATAAACGTTCCAAACGATTTCTCTAATAAAAATAATAAATATTATTTTTTTTCTCTATTCATAGATCAAAATAAGAATATTTAAAAAAGAAAATAAATATTTTCATAATATCATAAAACGAAAAACACGAAATACAGCGTTAATCAATTTCAGTTTGATTATATGCTTTAGTAAACAAATATCAATGAGAGAAAAGCTAAAGCTAAGTAATAACAAAGAATCAATCATATCTATTCACTTATCTGTAAAACAAAATTGCTGAATACTACATAGATTCATTATGGATATATGTTTCTCATTTATTATTAAGCACGTTTTAAAACATAACTTTTTTTTTCAATGAAAAAATATATTTTAATTTATACGTTAAATTTTTTTTCTTTTTCAGTAAATAAAAAAAAAAACTTACAATATAATCTCGATCTTTTCGTTTCATCATACGTCGTCTTCGATATGTCTATATGTATATTAATAAAAGAAAAATTTTAATTTAAAATTATTCTTTCAAACTTACGACAAAATACATCCAAAAGAAAAATATAACATGAAATAATACATATATTATAGCTAATGATATTAATGCTATATTATCCCAATATGGTGCTCTATCAGGTGGACAAACAGCAATTAATGCATGCCATGAACATACAACACATAGCATAACCATTGATAAAAGTACATATTTATCCTATAAGTCAAAGATAATTTTTATGTTTTAGTAAATTAAGATAAAACGAAATTACTAATGTTGTTAAATAAGATATTGTAGGTAAACATCGAACAACAACCCATTTAAATGTGACAGCTGTTAAAAGAAGTGTAAAACTTAATTGAAGACGATTTTGTGGAAGATTATATGTAACACTAAATGTAGCAAAAGCCATTACTGTTATAAAGAACTAAAAACAAAATTTTTTTATTCAAATTTTTTTAAAGAAAAAAAATTGAATATTTACGATAAGAAAATAAACATTCCAATAAAAATATCCTGGTCGTCGAGCTGCATGACCTAAATTAAAGATTATTTCTATTAAATAAAAATAAATATTTACTTACAAGTTGCTGAAAAAGCTGGATGTTGATTTTGTGATGGTGAAAATGGACTTGATAATAATTTTGTTGATGTTTCAACATGTTCATGTAAACGCCATTCTTGTTGATCAATAAATGTATCTTAAAATTTAACAAACAAAAATATTTTCTTTTTTTAGAAAAACAAAACTAAATAAACATTTATCATACGTGTATTAATTGTACTTAATTGATTTGTATCTGCAATAAGTAATACTTCATTAACAGTTCGTGTTGTTGATATTGTTATTGTTAAATCCTTTTTAAATATATTTATAAATAATTAAAAAGAAGAAGAAAAAACAAAACGAATTATTTACTTGAACATCAACTGGAAAGTCATTAAGTTCAAGATTTTCAAGAAAAACTCCTTTGATTTTTCTCATTTCATAAATCTAGTTATATTAAAAATTTTACAAAAAAAAATTCTTTAGAAAAATAAGTTCGAACCATTGGTGTATCCATTCCATCATAAACAACTTTATGCCAAACATCATTTTTTAAATCACCAACTGAATTATCAATAAATAATAATGGATTCCAAAATTTATTCGCATCAAAACAATCGATATCCTAATTAAGAAGAAATTTATTTTTAAATAAATTAAAAATAAAAGACTTTTTTTGTTTTTTTTTTATATTAAAATAATTGTTTTTTTGTTTTTATCTAACATACTTACATGTCACTTACCGTTCCTTTTAAGGCCGGTTCCGACCAACGTGCTTGAATAAAAGCTTCCGCTTGAAATTGTTCTTTTAATGTATCAATTTCACCAATTTTTAAAAATACTAAACGTAATTCAACCGTTACCTAAAATAAAAATTTAGATACAATATTAATAAAAATAGTTGAACTTTGTCTCGCTTATTTTTCATCTTATGTTCATTGATGCATGACAAGTTGACCTGACCCATTCTCGCTCATTTTTATTCGATCAATCTATTCATTTTCATTCGTATATTCAATAAAATGAAAAATTTATATTCAACAAAACTTATTTCACGTTCAACTACTTTTATTATTCCACTTGGAATTCTTTTTATTTTATTTGGTATAACATCAATTATTTTATCATCTATTGATATATATTATAGTTATTCATCTTTATCATTTCCAATAACAATTTCAACTTTTACAAATACAACAGATAATATTATAAATTCAACAGAAATAATCAATTCAACATATACAACAAATACAATAATAAAAACAATTTTTATTCCAAATGCTTTTTCTGAACAATCAATATGGCCAACACTTGGCAAAGGAATATGGTGTGGCCTTTTTTTTCTTGTTGTTGGTATTTTTTCATTAATTGCTCATCAAGAAAAAACTTTAATATCAATAAGAATATTATCATTACTTTCATTTATTTCTTTATTTATTAGTTTTTTTCTATTTTTATCATCAATTATTGTAATTCAACGTTATATTGTTGAAGGTCGTCTTAATGCTAATCAAAGAACATCAAATGAACAAAAAGAAGTTGTACTTAATGCTCTTCTTCTTGTTTCAGGAGTTTTATCTTTTATTGTTTCATTAATATTATCTATTGGTACACTTATTTCAGGAAATTTTTGTCAACGACAATCAGATGATTTCGAAGATATTGACAATTTTAATCAACAACCACAACATCCACCACCTGCCTATTCTGCACCATCTTATTATGGTTAAATTATAAAATCATAGCAAAATTAACTTAATATCTTAGTTTATGTAACACGAGTATATTTAGAATTCATTTTAAAAAATGTTTTTCGTTTTATGTTATTCATATTATAGAATGTTATTATTAGAATAATAAAAGGAAATGCATAGAGAAACAATTAAACTAAGTAGCACAAATTATTTTTTTTCTTTTGTTAATACTCAAACGACAAAACTCCAATATTTATCTAAAACAAATTAATATATGAAAAATCATTCTGTTCATAAAGAATTTTTTTAATTAAACGGTTCCTGTGAAAAATTTCACAAAAGATTTATATAAATAATAGAATAACTGTAAAAATGAAAATAGAATCTTACCCTTTCGAGTTTATCTACACCTGATTTATCCTCAACTGGTCTTGCATCTTGTTTTTCACATACTTTAATTATATAATCTTTAATTTCTGTAAGAATATTAATATTTTGCTTAAAATTATTATTTAATTCTTGAAGTGTATTTGTTAATTCACGTAAATCCATTATTGATAATGATGATGAAGATGGTGTACTATGCATTCGTTTTACTGGAGAATATTGATAAGATGGTGACAATCCTGTTAATGTTTGTGAAGTTCCTATTACTCCTCCTGATGGGTTCATAGATAATAATACAATATTTTTTATTTAATAATGGATCAATAATGATGATGATAAAACGTCGAATAAATAACTAATCGTAAATATCGAAGAGAAACCAATACAAGAATTATGATAAAATTAAAGATAATTTATTAGAAATAAAATAGAATATATTTATCTGAAAAGAAAATAAGACATTGAAAGGATATATATTATTTATATATAAGATTACTGATTGATAATTGATTTCAATATTATTTATCTGCTTTTCTTTTCTTTTGTTTTTCTTCTCTGTTTCTTTCGTTCAATACAATATTATTCGATCAACATCAAATTGAAATAATACTTTCGATTCACGATGAAAATAAATTAAATAAAACTTCTAATACAAATTAGTATCTATTACATAGAACAATAATAAAAACTTAAAATTCACTTCATAATACATACGTTTCTAAATACGATTGGTTTGATGCAAAATTCTATGAGAAAAAAAAAACATAAGATTTTATTTTCTATTGAAAAAGATAAATTAATCTAGTTTTATATTTCTAAACTAGAAATCATTTCATCTTTATTTTTCTATCAACAACTAAGTTTGTACGAGTCCAATATTCTTGTTGGTATTAATGATAAGAAGATGAAATGTTTCGATTGATAAACAAAAGATAGATAGAGAGAGAGAGAGAGAGAGAAGCGATATTCTATCTCAAAACTTTTTTATGTATACAAAGAGAAAGCAAGAACATAATAGATCCATCAAGTAGAAACAAGCCAAAGGCTGCTATAAAAGCTAAAAGGAAAAGAAGAAAAGTGTGTGTTGTTTTAGTTGACACTGGAATCAACAACTCTATATACCCTAAAAACTACCATTATTACTTGACAGACACTTTTGTTTCTATTGACTAAAGGTATTCTCTTAGAAATTAAGCAAGAATAAAAGAGGAAATAGACTAATAATAAATCTCTACATCAACATTTGTTTTTCTTTTTTAATGAAAAGAATACGAAGAAAAATAGAAACATTTTACATCTTATCAACCATTTATATTTTATATTTTTATTCCATGTAAGAATTTTGATGAGATATTATCAAATAATAATATTAATTTTGAAATGAAAACAAACATTGTTTTAATAAAAAAAAATGATCTAATTACAATAGATTATATTGACCTTGTCAAAGTAATCATAGACTTGACATAGAAAAAGAAAAAAAATTTGACATAAAATACTAAACATTATATCAACCAATCAATACTCTTAGTCTCATCTGTTATTCTAGTTGATAGATGCAAATAAGAACAATGCATTTTCTCTTGTTTCTCTTATTAACATGTGAAGACTTATGTTCGCCCATATAAAAAAAAGAAAAAAAATCATTTCTATGAACAAACAATTGATCATATTCTTGTGCAAAGTTTTAACTTTATCAATTCTATTCAATTCATATTTATTGTAATTAAGAGCGAATGAAAGCACTTGAAGCAGAAGTATGCAATATGAATATGTTACATTTAATCATCATTAAAAGCAAATATTTCTAAAAAACAGGAAATATCCCACACACTACCCTCAGTAAATCTGTAATAAGAATGAAACCAGCATTATTATTTTATTAAATTTTCTCTCTCTCTCCCTGATACGATATATTTACTTGTTCATTCTAAGAATGATAAACATAGAAAATGGAGTATTCCGAGTACTAGGTTGGAAATAATATTTTTTTTCAAGGAGACTAACATTGTACTTTCACATAGTGTCAATAGTGGCGGCGCCAGGGGTGGGCCAGGGTGGGCTCAGCCCATCCTGATTTACATCGAGCCCACCCTGAGAGAGTTTGAAAGCTATGTAAAAAGAACACTTTGTGTAGGTTAGGGTGGGCTCAACCCATGATGAGNGACTCTAACACAGAAGTATGCTCTACATACCGTTTTGATCTGGTTACGCCCTTAATCTTATTATCACCTTGCAGCCAAGCTTTTCTGAACACATTAAAATTGGCCTGCTCGAACATTAATTCTCCGTCTATCGTATCTGATAACGCTAATAAATATTTATTCCAATATCTTAAACATCTATCTTCTAACGATATTTCATTCAAAATGATTGTATGATTTCCATATATATTGTCTTAATTTTATTCTATAAAAGTTTTTCAAAAATAATAATATTGAATAAAATATTTTAGTAATATCAACACCACGCGAAAATTCATCTAATGCATCTTCACGTCGAACAGCTGAATTGATTCGTAATTCTCTTGACACAAAATATTCTCAATCATATATGCTTTATTCACTTGAGCAATTTTCTATTGATCAATTATCTTATCAACAAGATCTATTTCATAATAGGGTTTGGTTTTCAATTAAATTTTTCTTCAAAACAAAAATTTTTTTTGTTTGTTAATAGTTTCATAATTTACCATTATTTGATGAAAAACAATCACCACGTCTAATTGTTTTACTTTGGTTCTGTCAAAAAATAACATCATATTTACTTGAATCACCATCAAATGTAGCTGTACTTCATTGTCATGTAAGTTTTTCTGAATTTTATTTAAAGAAAAAATAAATTATTTCAAATAGGATTCCAGAAATCAATTAGCATTTGGAGTATGTTCATTACTTGCCTATCATCAAATATTTCCAAGAGTTGATCAAATTATTCAATATTATGAATTCCATCGATGTGCACATTCATCATTAACAATGTCACAAAAAAGGTTTTTTCTTTTTAGATATAATAAAATATTTTTCAAATAATATTTGTTTAGATATATTCAATATTTATGTGATATATCATCTGGTATTATTGAAAGACCACATTTTAACGAATTAATTCTTAAATCGATAACTTTATCACCAGTACCATTTGTTAATCGAGAAAAGTCTCTTGTTTTATTTTGATTAAATTGAATTAAATATTTTTTTTTTCTCTTTTTTTGTTTTTGTATTAGAGATGGTTGTCGTCCATTTGTTGATATATATGATCAAGAACATAAAAAAATCTTTTCAACATATCAAGAAGCATCTAAACTTCGGTTTGAATTTTCTCTTTTTTTTCTTAATAAAATTTATTCTTATTTTTCTAAAGAGTTTATTCTGCAGCAGATAACAATTGTTCTATTCCAATAAATCTTTCATTTAAGGATGATTTAACAATTCATATAACACATGCAACAATTGGTAGTTCACGTCGAGCTCGTGTAAATTCTTTTTTTTTTTTAATTCAAAATATATTTAAGAATTAAGATTTGTTTTTAGGAAGGTGGAATTCGTATAGGTGAATTTACAATCAATTCAAATTTTAGTACTTTAAAGCATCCAGAGTTATCTTATCCACGAAATGAATTGGATGAAATCGATCAAAATGACAAATCAACAAAGTTTTTTCGTGTCACACTTGATATTGCAAATTCACAGCAAGCTATGATCAAGGAACAAGATTCATTTTCAAAACAATTGAACAATACAATAAAGAAACCTTTAGCTTTATTTAAAGATGAAAATGAATTAAAACAAAAAATCAATCATTTTGGTAAATTTTTTGTTTTTTTTTGTTGTTGATTTTATATAATTAATTCATTTTTTTTAATGTAGAGAATCAATTTAAACATCAAAATGGTAAGATTAATTTTCTTTTCAATTCAATTAATAAAAAAATCATAATAAATTAGGTGATATGAACGGTAAAAATGAAGTTCCATCATCTCCTGAATCAAATAGTTCATCATCATCATCAAGACGAAATAGTCTTCGATTTTCAGATTCATTTTCATTGACTCCTCAATCTCCATTATCATCATTTATAAATCCTATACATAATCCATTTAAACAACAAAAAGATCTTAGTTCACAAACATCAGTAAGTCATTCACCACCATCAGTTGAAGAAAAACAAAATAAAGAACAAACAGCTATTGGTACTCTTCTGGATATTGGAGAAAATAATTTAAATAATGCATACATATTTGAAAGATCAATATCATCTGATAAACAACAACATGAATTTAATTCAAGTATTGAGTCACAAACAAATCTTCTTGATGATGATTTGGATCAACATAGACATGTTTTACAAAGGCATTTATCAGAAACGCTTTCACCAACACCTATCATAGTAACAACGAATGCTAACACACAACAGAACGCATCGAGTAAGACGTTGTTCGATAGATGTCAGTCATTCCTATTGCTTGAGATTCTCTATTCTACTAAATCACCATTTTCTTTCTATTTCTCTTGATTCAATATATATAGCCATAAAATAGAAAGATAAACGTCCCACTTCGGTGGGACATATAATAAAATTGGAACGATACAGAGAAGATTAGCATGGCCCCTGCGCAAGGATGACACGCAAAATCGTGAAGCGTTCCATATTTTTTTGTTTTGTTTTTCATTTTAGATTCAACTAACCAATCTAATACAACATCAGCAACAACTGGTTCTAATTCTAATGTCAATAAAACAGAAAACAATGTTTCTTCTTCCCAACCAAAATCAAGTAACGGAAACAAAAAATTTTTAGACTTTTGATAAATATCTTTTTTTGTTGTTGATAGACTCAGTTAAATCAGATTCATTTCGAAGTCGTTTAAACAAAATAAAAATCGATTTTGATATAGATCTTGGTGAAATAGCTGGTTTAAAAGATTCTAAGCCTAAATCTGAATCATCAACACCACTGACAATCGGTGATAAACGAAAAGCTACATTACTTAAAGATATTGATCCAACAGTTCTTAAAGTAAAAATCAATTAAAATTTAATTACTTTAATTTTTATAAGTTAAATAGGTTCGAGAATGGACTGAAGGTAAAAAAAGAAATATTCGAGCATTATTATGTTCTTTAACAAATGTTACATGGCCAGAATGTAAATGGACTGGATGTCAATTGAATGAATTAATAACACATGAACAAGTGAAAAAAGTTTATAGAAAAGCTGTACTTCATATTCATCCAGATAAAGTAAAAAATAATTTAATATATATTTTATTTAAAATGATGTTTGTTTTATTTTTAAAGCTTCGTGGCGATCCAAATGAACCATTAGCTAAACTTATTTTTGTTGAATTAAATGAAGCTTGGTCTCAATTTGAACAAGAATCAAATTGAAAATAATTAATATTCTCTACTATTTATTATGATGTGTCGTTTGAAATTTGATAAGAACAATAGTGTTAAATATTTTCTTTTATCACAATATATTTCGATTTCTATTTGAAAGATAAAGTAAAATAAAATAATTTTAGTTCATATAAACAAGAGTTGACTCGCTAAATTTTAAATATCTATTTCGATCTTTTAATTTATCATTTTATGAATAAATATTATAATGTTGTGTCAAATTTGTATGTAACTATCGTGATTGTCTTTCTTTTATATTATCATTGTATATAACAAAAAAATAAAACATAAATAATACTGTAATTAAAGAATTATTAAGACTGATGGACATTTCTATATATATGTTTATCTGAAAATATACATTTAAGTGTACAGGGTTTCTTTAGAACTTTTGTTTTTCTCTAGTATTATGATGTGTACTATAATTGCGCAATAAGAAATATTTAATACTTTTTTATTTTTGAATAAGAAATATTATCTCAGAGAGACCGATGCTTTTGTCATAGTCAATAGAATCTGATTACTAACAATTGATAAAAGTTTAGATACTCTTACAGATATCTCCCAAAGTTATGCAATTTTTCAGAAGTTTTTGCTACGATACCATATTATATTGCATATCTTTGTAATTACAACAGAAAATTGTTTTCCTTTGTTAATTTCAATAAGCACTTTAAGTTTATTCTATCATAATAAAGATATAAAAAACAAAACGAAATAGTATTATTAATATGAATATACTACGCAAGCCAAACACATTAGCAAAATAACTCTTTCATTCTTTAATCTTCTATATTCGTTTTTTTTTCTGTTTTGTTTTATTTTAATTTAATATTCAACGTTTAAATGTTACTATTTTCTTCGTTGATCAATAATCTATAGATATAATGAAGATTTTTATCTGAAAAAAAATGTTTTATTGCATAATATTCGACTTCTATTAGAATATTTCGATCAAAAGTCATTTTATAATCAGGTTTAGAATAGATTCTAAATTTATATTCAGCTTTTTATTATAACTTTCAAGAGAAATACAAAGACCTGATTCTATCAAAACAAAGAAATAACGATTAACAGCAATTATTATGTGAAAATTAAACAAATGGAACTCATTGAAAATTTACTTATTTGTTATAATACTCCACAAAAATCTTTGGTCCTTCCTCTCGTTGTATCTTTGAACCAGTGGGTTGAAACTTTGCACGAATACCATTCATGGAAAACTTCGATCTTCGACAATAATTGTAGTTTAAGCGCATTTATAATATATGAGATCCAGATATATATATATAGAAGTCGTTCAGTTGTTCTTAGCAATATAATATGTAGATGATACCATTCTCAAGACAAAAAATTTTCAAGTAATCCACTTTTTTATAATGATGTTTAAAGGTCTTGGTTTAAGCGGCATGGATAGATGCCCAATTGCTCATCGTTACAACATAATATAATGACACTTTTATTATGTATAGAAGAGAAACTAAAAGGTGTCGGAGGCAAATTTTGGCATTCAAATATTTTACCTTTGAGGAATTCACCTATCTAGAAGATTGATATAAAGGTTCTATAAATGTGAATTCATCAGTAAAATGATTATCATTTTATGAGAACTCAAGGAAGCAGACTCATATTTTATCTACTACAAGTCTCAGTAAGTAAATACTTGCTGATGAATAAAACATCTAAAAAATTCACTAATTTCTATCAACGACACAAATCACAATGTTGGCCAGATGAAATTTTATATCTCATGAAATAAAAAGACATTCGAACTGCATGGAAAAACTCGTTTCTGCAAAGTTTTGCCCCATGAATCTTATGGATTACAAAATTTAGATGATCGTAGACTGTTGTCGAATACTGTATAAAAAAAAACAAAAGAAATGTTTACAAATCAAACATTGAACATCGTTAGTCATGCTCAATAAGTTTAATTAATAGATTCCTTTTTATTCAAATATATGTGCCTTGTACAGAAAAAAAAATTTCAACATATTCAAGATGTATGTTTATAAAGAGTTTTTATCGCGATTATTAATATAAAAATATTTTAATTAAGAATTTAACGCTGTTGAGATGATGCACCAAGACTTCCAAAAAGTCCGACACGTTCTCGACTATTTGTCTTCTTTGGTTGTAAAATATGATCATAGTTGATATCTGATTTACTTGCAGGTTTCTCTTCAGAATTTGATTTATTCAATTGTTGTCGAAGTTTGTGTGCTACACCCAAACTAAACGGAGTTGCAAGTGGTTCTTTTGGTGTTGTCAATCCTTTTATTGCATCTTCTAATGCCATTATTTTATTTTCAAGTTGTTTTATTTGTAAACGTGATTTCATATCACGATCTTTAAGTTGAACAACTTCATCTTCTAATAATTCACATCGTTGACTAAGACATTCAATTGGTGTATGATTAGTTTGTTGTTTTTTAATTAATTGATTTTTGCACATACGACATAAATAATCATTACGATCAGTTCGAATATGATGATTATTATCAATTGAATCAATAGTCGTGTTTGAATGATGGAAAGTAGAATCTGTTTCAACTAATGGAGAATAATGCATATTGGCTACAAGAACAGCAAACAAAAGAAAAAACTTTTAAACAGTATTAATATATGTTTTTTTTTTGTAGATAGATTTTTAAATTATTTTCAAATAAACATTTGAAGTATATTTACAAACTATTCTTATTTAGTTTGTAAGAAAAAAATTTGAAACATGATAGAAATTATGTAGATGAGAAGATTGAAAATATATATTAGTAAGATAAGCTTTATCTATCTATTGAGAGAGGAGATTTGAGTTTCTCGTATTAAAATAAAACATTTATTTCAGTTCTGAGCCGAGTGAAAAAAAAATATAATAATATCTAATAAGTAAAAAAACAACCAGATGACGTTTGTGTTGATTGTATAAACAAATATATAAGCTAAACTCTGATTCATTCTTATCGTTTCGTTCTGTGTATTTTGCTAATGAAGATGAATAAAAAAAAATTATATATATTGAAGTATGTGAATGATATCATTTGTATAACCCACAAGGTTACTAATCTCCTCTCAAGCATATCACACGATGTGCTTTCATATTGCGAACAAAAATTGAGTCGATTTAGCACTGAATTGTTCTTAATTTAGAATACAAAACTTAATACGATCTCATTTTTAATGCGTTTTTAAATTTCAAATACTTTGATTAAATAATAATTGAAATATTTGATTATAAATTCTGTTCTATTGATAATATTATATAAATAATCGTGAGAACAAAAGATTATACTACATTTCAAACTATGGACGCAAACTTTATTTGATCAACAACTGAAAAAGATGCAAAAGCCATTTTATATAATAATTACTTATATTGATTAAGACATGATAATTATAACGATTGATTGATTTAATGTCTGTAATTTAGAGTGATGTTCTCGTACCATTACTTTTGAAAATAATCTAATTATAAAATCAAATGATGCAAATCATAATAATGACGTCAATTTAACAAAAAATGTTCAAAAATTTTTTCCCGTTGAAATATGAAATATTAATTAATATCGATGAACTTGTAATGAAAATTAATGAAGAAGTTTTTTGCTATGTGTTTGTTTTGTCAATAAAAACTGTTGATCATTTTGATAAATAAAAAGTGTTCGCAATTTGAAAATATATTAAAACTAAGATCACCGCAAATTTTTGCATTTCAAATTTCAGACTTGTTCGTGTTAATTGATTTAATTTTTTTCACAATTGTCATATATTCGGTGTACGCGATTTATTGCTCGTTCATTACATAACAAATGTATTCGAATTATCGTTTTTCTTAAGAGTGTTTGGTGAGTTCAGCGAAGACAAACATTCACATCTACGTCTAAAACTTAAGACACGTGTTAAATATGAACTTCTCTATGAAATATGACGACAACTAATTTCAAATTTTTATTTGATAACAAGACACTTATAGTTTAAAGCAGCAAAAGCTCTGTTGAATTTTTCATGTGAATGTGTACTTATTCAAATAAAACTATTTTCTTGTATTTATTGAAATTGTTTCTTATATAAACCCAAAACATTGTACACATACAGTAATAACAGATGAATGGTTAATAAAATGGTCACAATGCTATGATGAAAGTCGTATTGCTATTCCAGTGTTCTTGAAAGCTGTTGGATTGGGATATTTTCAACGTGCATCAAAAAGTTAAACAGCCAACTCCTTTTTATTTTGTGTCATGTTCATATATTTATTGGAATCGTTATTTTCTTTTTTTGCTCTAATAATATATTGATTGTCACAATGCCTACCGACAACGTCATCACACGATCTATTGCGACAACACAAATAGAAATAGAAATTGAATTTATTTTCGTTCTTTTTATTATTTAGGTATTAATCAAATTTTTGATTAAGATTCTTAAATTAATATTAAATGTTCGAGCAATTTGTTGAAGACATAATATAAATCCATGAAAATCTATTGTAAGAGAACCAGGAATATAAAGACCTTGATAAACTAGTGATGATTGAATTTGATAAAAAAGGCCATTCAACTGAAGACGAATATCAACTTTATTTAATTTTGTATGTTGACAAATACATTGAATAAAAGTTGAACAAATCATTTGATGATGAGAATCATCTTTTGATTTTTCACTATGTGCAATAAAATAATCTTTAAGACGAGATAAATCGTTATTATATTCATTTAATAATAAATTATGAGAGATAAGGGAATAATCAAGAGCATTATTATTTTGATCTTGATTATTAATAAGAAATGTTTGATGTAAAAGCTGAGAAAAGAAATTATGAGAAAGAAATTCTATATTATTAAACTTACTTTTTCATAAAGATATTCTTTACTAAGATGATTTTCTTTTGCTATAAGATCAATTTGTTTAATAAATTCAATAAAATTATTCATTGAATGTTTATTTTTTTGATTTAATTTAGTTATTAAGCCTTGTGTTGTTTTTACAATGAAATCATCGAATATTTTTTCACTTAATAAATTATCTTTACTATTTCTTAACGATAAAAATAATTGATAAAGTTTTCCTAAAGTTGAATTTGAGTTTGAAGAATTTAATATATCATCTAAAGTAACATATGGTTGATGATAAATATTATTAATAGAATTGAATAGATGAGCCATTTCTGTAGATAAATCTTTTGATGACCAATTGTTTTTCTCCTGCACAACGGGTGATAATCTTTCTTTTTGATGATTCGATGGTTTACTTTTCTGATATGAAACATTTTCTTTCGTTTTTCTTATTAATGAATTCATTATTGAATTGTTAATAAATTAAGACTGAGACAGAAGCGCCAAATAACTTATTTTCAATAGGATAAAAATCTCGATTTCATTGTATTGAAAAGCATAGCGGACGACTAACAAGGTGCTAACGTCTAGAATATCTTATTTCACACGAAATAAATTTTAGACTAGCAAAAACTTCTCATATTGTTTTCCAAATTAATTTGGAAAAAATATTTCTTCATTGCTAATCACAAAAAAAATATAACTTGTTTTATATCGAAATCGACATCATATTAAATATTTAATTGGATGTTACAATATTATTACTCGTAATAAGTAATACAAAAGTAGGATAGTAGAAAAATTTCTAATGATTGATTAGATTTCACATTCTCAACATAGATTCATTCTCAATATTCATGCACTATTGATAGAATAAGATTAAGGATTGAATAGTAGAATCCTAAAGTTCAGGAATTTCTTATATTTTTAGAATTACCTCGAATTCTTCAAGATTCCTAGTGAACTCATAAGAGCTTACTAATGAACGCTATCTGTGCACCAAGAGCTTTCTCTGCTGATACTTCTTTTTCCTTTTTGAGTGTTGATGTAGATATAATGAGTACTCACACCTTGAGTCATTGCTCTTATCAGTGAACTAATATTTCAATGTGACTATTACAATTTTATGCCATGAACGCTAAGCTGGGAATAAACCAAAATATTGAATTGAAATTCAGTTCTATGTATATAATAAATCATGTAAAAAATAAAATGAATACACGTTTGTTTGAATTCTTTGAAGTAGTTAAAGCGTTAACTCTTGTACGTAAATTTTAACTTGAATTTCTTATATGGATTTAATCATTCAGTCGATAAACGGTGAACTAATTATTATTGAATAAATAAATAGATATAAAAATATTATGAAAAAGGCGAATAAAAGCGCATTTTCCTTTTCAATTTTTTTACGTCCATTTTTTTTTCTTCTTTTGTCTTTAAAAATTCTATTATGGTAGAACCAGTATCAGTCATTCTTGGCATAACTACTGTTATCAATCTTGTTTCGGCAGGTATAAGTTGGTTTAAAAAAATTATGGGCATAGACTCATCTTTAGCAACCACATTGTCAATACCTGTAGCAACATATCCATCAGTTATATATACATCTTCAATAATAGAACATACTGAAAGTATACTTGAAAGAAAAATAATAATCTATTATATCACTAATTTTCCATTTTTTTTCGATTAAAAACAGAAAGTGAATATGAAAGTTTCAAAAGAAAGAAAGAACCATCGCAAGATTTTGAATCAAACGATCATACATCATCGTCAAATCCTGGTTCAACAATTGGTTTAATACTCATTATTGTGATTATTCTTGCAGTTATTGCTTTTATTTTTTATCGAAAACGAGCTAAATTACAAGCAAATAGATTTAGTTTTCGACAAACTGAAAGAAAATTTGAATCATTAACTAGTCCACCAGCATCACAAATAGAACCAAATCAAACTTTTGTTTGATCATAAGAAAATATATTTTAACTTTCATTTTGTTTTTTCATAATCAATAAAAAATTTTCTCTCCGAAAGATGTCAGTATTCATCAACTATCTTTATCAAAAAAGAAACAAAAATCAAAAACAAATAAATCCAAAGAGATACTAATTAATTTTACTTATGAATAATTTCATCATTTTATTCTATTATTTGAATACGATTTTAAATAGGATATGATAAATATTATATCCAATGTATAGTTCATGATTGGCCGTTCTATACTTACGGATTGGTTCTAGTTCAATAGAACCAGGTGGTGTATTTCTGTTCGCTTAGAAAACCGAGAATGAATTTTTTTTAATGTACCAGAGACAAATAATGCGTGTGAAAGAGTGTATTTGTTTAACGCTATTTATTTTTATTTTTTTCATTATTGTTATTTATATATTTGGTCGAAGTGATACGAAAACTAAAATGGGTTCCATATGGTCTTCATCTGGTTCCTCATTATCATCATCTGATTTATCTGTTGCTGATCATATTCAACAATTAATTCATAAATATCCAGTTGTGGTTTTTTCAAAATCTTATTGTCCTTATTCATCAAAAGCAAAAAATATTCTATCAAAATATAAATTAGATAATAATTATCATGTACTTGAACTTGATCATTTGTCATCGAAAGCGGATCAATATCAAAATGAACTTGGAAAATTAACAGGTGCACACACAGTACCACGAGTATTTATAAATGGAAAATGTATTGGTGGTGGTGATGATACTATGGCATTGGAAAGACGAGGTGATTTAGAACGATTATTGAGAGAAGCTAAAGCTATTGTTGATTTATAATACATATTGCGACTTTTTATAGACATTTTTGAAGAACTTTACTTATGATTTTAATAACATATAAAAATGAATTATAAGATTTTCTGTAAAATTCTATGTCAAAAGTTATGCAACGCATTTTTTAAGTGCTTAATTTGTTTATCATGTTTATGAAAAAATTTTGTTTTTGACTTTGACGTAATAATAAAAGAAGAAAAAAAAAGTTTTATTCCTTTCATCAGAAGACTTTCAATTTATTCGATAGAGAAATATCAATATAAAGTAAGTTCTAAATAATTGAATCGAATAAGATTCTTTCATAAATCAGTTAATCAGCTAGTCGAAGCTCAATATGAAAAATATTATCTTTTAGCCTAAGATAACTGACATCATCATTTATTTAAAATACAATTTAATTAATGCAAAACTTAAGTCATTTTCTATAGATCTTAATATTAACGGTCAAATGATTTGCCAATGATTAAGAATGGTTTATTCCTAATATTGGTCTTTTGCATTCATTAAAAAGATTTTTATGTTGATTGTATTACTTTTATTATTTCATTTTTAGTTCTTTGATGCTCGGTCAAATAAAGTATAATTTCTTACTTACATATAGTATTGTGTTAACCAATGTATATAGTCTGCAAAAGAATTCAAGTAAATTAGCTGCCAACTATGTCACGGATGTCAGTCATACTCTTTCATCATTAAGAGAGAAAATTTAAATATATTATGATATGTTGACATACATTTTATCTTTGTCTAAAAGAATAAATTTTTAACTAATGATGGTCAGTGATGGATTATGTATGATTACCTGTTAAATAAGTTATATTCTTTTCATATGAAATTGATTTATTGTTATAAAATGTGAATATTCGCGGTGCAAAAACCAATACTCGACTGAATACATATTTTAGTTGAAATATTGCTGTAGATTAGTTTGAGTAAAAAAAATTGACCTCTCTTCAAATAAAAGATTGTTTAAATATTTAGGACTTGATCGTGCTAGAGTTTTAGTTATTTAATTTACCGATTAGTTAGACATAAAAGTGATGAATCATCCATTGCGTCTACTGTATAACCTCATATGTTTTTGCTGTTGTTATTCAACATTATTACAATCTCGATAATTGAGTTGGATATCTTTTAAAGATTGTTTTAAAATTAAAAAATAGAAAAACTTGTTTTCAAAAAGAGTTATCTATTAACATGAGTTTATTTTTCGAATATTCTTTTATAGATGCATTTTTGTTTAGTTAATAAAGTTCGCTCGAGTTTAGAAACCGTTGATGTAAAAACGTCTCGAAGACTTAGTCAGTCAAAAAGTGATGCGTAAGTATTTGTTTAATTTTATCATAGAAATTTCAAATATCGTTTTATAAATCAAATAAACATAGACGAAGTAAAATTTTACAATTAGTTTTAGCAGGAGGACAAGGCGGTCGTCTAGATCTTCTTACTGAACAACGAGCTAAACCAGCTATTTCTTTTGTTGAAACTCTTCGTTTAATTGATTTTTCTATGAGTAATTGTCATCACTCACATTTATCCGATGTTTAGGTTGTCGAACAATATGAAGTTCATCAACTTAATGACCATTTAGTTAATGGACGTCCATGAGAATATGGATAGAATCTATGGAGATCTTCAAGTATTACTACCTTTTGAAATTCATAATCGGAGCAAAAGGAATGATTCTAAAGATAATCAAAGTGGAAGTTAAGATAAAGATAATAATAAAAGCAAAGAAAAAAGCAAGAAGAACAATGATGACAAAAGTGAAGGTAAGACATTGTTTTTAACTTAATATATTTTATAAACGCAATAGACTAGATTTACCCTTTGAGCACGAAGTTTTTTTCAATTGCAAAATAGTTCTTCAATCAATTTATTGTATTCGACTCAACATAATTACATTAAAAAATAATAAAAATATATCAAGTAATGAGAGGGAGAGATCATCATGACGTTCATGTATATTATTGGAACGATATGAAAACCTCTGAGAAAGATCTATATGACGGGGAGAAAGAGAGAAAAGATATGCATGATATGAGACGATCTATTACCTTACAGATCATAACAGTTTAATGGAAAGCAAACATTTTCTTTAATAGAAAATAGGTGGTACAACGTGTATAATTATATTGCCGTCCTCAAAGTGTTAGTGTTTCTCAACGAGATTCTATTTGAAACTGACAAAACATTCTTCAAATAATTTGTCCATCTCTATTCTTCAGACTAGTAGATTTTAAGAAAGATTTTAACTTTTAGTGTGTTTTGGATGTGATATCAAGTTCATGATCTTTTATTGTTAAATTGTTTTTCTTTATTTCAAAGTCACATCTAACGTAAGTTGAAAGATAATCTCTAAATATGAAGAAGATTATGTAGTAGCCGGTGACAGCTGTGTATAAAGTGAACAAGTAACATTTCTTCTAATATCCTGTTCATCGACAACTAGCGACAATTATTTCTAACTGAGTTTTACTTTTCTTTCTGATTAATTGTATACAGAGGCGGCGGAACGATTCAAATCTAGGGGAGGCTCAAAACTTCTCAGGCAGCGATGAGAGATCGATATAAAGGGAGGAAGGATTTTTTAGCTTTCTAATTCTAACTCTTACTGGAATTTTCTTAAAAGATGCTTCATTGAATTTGACAAACTTTCAAGAATTATTTGTTTGGGCTTTACAGGAACCATTTAAATCACAGAATTTCTCTGCTTAATATCATAAAATGCAATTTAACTATACTAAAAAAAATCTCTGGTCTGGAAGAGTGAATTCTCACCTTTGTAAGCTGTCTGTTTTTGACTTATTTTCTTCAATTTAATGTTACAATGAAAACATCAGTCTCGGGACTTATAGAAATATTCTGAAAACGAATCCTAGAAGCTGTTATTGAATTCTCTGTATCAACTGCATTACAAGGTCATGTGGACCTGTTCTGATGAGTTCTTAGGAAATTGGATAAGATATGTAAAATATTGCTACTTTCCTTTATACTGAAAGTAGTAAAAATTGTAATATACATACATATTTCTTATTTACCTTCGCACAAGAATTCTGAAAACCTTGGTTTTTTTAAAGGAGCAAAACGTTCTCCAGACTTATCTTAACCAATTTCGAGAGAGCTAAAAGCAAACATGTACAAAATACGACAATTTTTCACTTTTCTAAATTCAATTTGTTCCTCTATATAAATGATTAATCGCCTAGTTGTTCACTTTTATATCTTTAAAATGATTTTCGAACATGATACGAATCACTTTGAGTGTCATTGTATTGAGTAACGAATTTTTGTACATTAAACTTGACTTTAATAATCATTCTGCCATTTCTGACCCGTTCAGTCTGTTATTATGAAGAAAAATTTCAGTTTCTCGCACATCTTTACTTTTTTTTTCTCTCCAAAAGGTTTGCAATAAAGCATTCAGGTTTTTATCATCTTTCTGTGCGAAGATAAATGCAAAATAGCTATTCTTTCAAAATATGTTTGTTAATTCCAACATAATCGGAATTAGAAATGTTTTATACATCTTTTATTTCAGTTTTCTAAAATTCATCAAAAGAAGCCAGCAGGCGAGTTTTTTCATAGTTATATTTTAGAAACCACCGACATCACATATCTTGAAAAAAATTCAAGATTTTAGCATTTGTGCATACAGAGATATATACAAAATAAATCATATGGATAACTTTTTTGAACATTCGGTATAAATTCAGAATGAGATTCGGAAAACTTTGTCAGAAGATGTCAAGTCTCTCTAGCTTTCCTCTTCATTTTCTTGAAAAGGCTGGAGACTCCTGAGGCCTAATGACTCCGTTCTCTATGACGCTATCTAACATCTGGCTGAACACACTCTTGATCAAAGAGTTTTCGCTTACTAAATACAAGTTCAGGATGAGATCTATAAAATTTCTTCAAATATCTGAGCCTCCTCAGGCCTTCCCTTTCTGTTAGTAGGGGAGGCTTAAGCCTCCCCAAGCCTAAGGGCTCCGCCGCCACTGGTTGTATATGTAATAGAAGAAAGACAATGAAAATACCACCGTCCATTAGTGGTCAAACAGACTAGACGAATGAAAAAGAAACTAAATCAAGAAGTGCAATTGGTATGTCCAAAAACACCAATCAAAATTCTTAATTTAGTTTTCATTCGTCTAGTCTGTTTGAAGCCTTATATATTCACATTTAACGTTCATTTCGTATAGATAAGATGTTGAAATCACAAGCAACTTGTGTTTGTTCTCAATCATCTTCATCTCGTCATCGAACACTATCAGAGTGTTCAAGACGTAAAAAATCATGTAAACGACCTCGTCGAACTTCAATTCCCCCTCCACTTCAACCAACATCTACTAAATCTCCATGTGCTGATGGTCTCTATAAACCACCTGCTAAACTTCGTCTTGTACAAGTATGATGATTTGAAATCATCAAAATATATTCCTAGTTTATTTTCTCTTTTTAGACATCATTAACAGATTCATCAACAATTGAATATCAATGTTTAGCATGGGAAAATTTGAAGAAAACTATAATTGGTCGACTTAATAAAGTGAATACATGAAATTTACCATTAATTATTAGTGAATTATGTCAATATAATATTGTTCGTGGTCGTGGTTTATTTGCTCGTGGTATCATCGAAGCACAAATAGCATCACCATTTTATACGCCTGTTTATGCTGCATTAGTTTCTGTTATTAATTCAAAAATTCCACAAATTGGTGACTTAGTTGTCAAACGACTAATATCATTATTTCATCAATCATATCAACGAAATGATAAAACTAATTGTTTGACAACAACAAGATTTATTGCACATCTTCTTAATCAAAATGTCGTATGTATTCTTAAATAAACAAAACAACTCGATTATGTGCTTGTTTGTTTCTATTTAGTTACATGCAATAGCTGTATTAGAAATGCTTGTTAGTTTACTGCGAAATCCTTCTGATGATAGTATTGAATTAGCTATTGAACTTATAAAAAAATGTGGACAAAAACTATCTCAAGTTTATCCACGTATATTAGATTCGTTTTTTTCAACATTAAGAAATTTACTTCATGAATCATCATTAGATAAACGTACACTAAATATGATTGAAGTTTTATTTACTATACAAATAGATCAATTTAAAGCAAATCCACGTATTCCATTTGGTCTTGATTTAGTTGATGAAGATGATCAATATAAACATGTGATTTCATTACATGATCCATGTGAACTTGACCCAATGCTTGGTATGAGAAACATTAAAAAAAATATTTCATTATTATCTTTTCTCTTTAGATGTATTTCAATACGATGAACAATATGAAGAAAATGAAGAAAAATACAAGCAAATTCGAAGAACAATTCTGAGTGAAACTAATGTTAATGAAGATGAATCAAGTTCCAGTTCATCAAATAGTGATGAAGAAGAAAAACAAGATGATCGAGTAAAAAGTAAGTATAATTTCCCTGTTATGATATTCACCTTCGTTCAACCGTAGCGTCACTGATTCTATTCTTCACATACGTATTTCTTCTCTCGTTCAGTTGGTATTTTCCTTTCATTCTCTTTTATTCATTTCTTCTTCCACGCCCCATACAGACAGATAAATGGCAAAACGCCTTTTTGATGCATTGACGATGAGAATTGAAGAAAACAACGGTATTAAACTCGTTTACTAGACAAATTCAAGAAATAAACGCGTGAAAACGGTTATTTTCTGTTTAACACATTTAACGAAGATGTTAGAGTACTGAATATGTTTTAACGTCGGTATGCAAGTAAATTACAGAAGTTAATGCATTTTAACATAGATATATTATACCTTTTAATGAATTGGCATAGAAAAGAATTAATTGAAGAGAAGCTGCTTGTTAATACTGATTAATACAACATTCTATCCAAAGTACACTAAAAGTAAAGCAAACAGCTATCTATTTATTATGGCTAACTGCTTCCAGTTCGATTAGAGTACTGGAAAAAAAACAGATTTATGAACAGGAAGAAATTTAATATCAGTTCCAGGTTGAAAAACAAGTTTTTGCATAATAGATTGTAAATTAGTAACTTATGTTGTTTCATAATAAGTTCCATACAATAAGTTTGTGCAAAACAAATGAACGTATGTATGTTGCTATCAATGAATTTTGCGATACTAATAAAAATATTGTCTTTGCTAGCATATTTATATCGGCTTTTCTATAGAAAATAGTACAAAGATGTGTTAAATCATCTAGGGTAAGAAAATGAAAAGAAACAAATAATTTGACTAGAATCCTTGAAAAAAAAACGGTCGAGAAAAGTTTGATGATTTATTTAACAAAAGCTGATATTGGATGTACAATAAATGCAGTTAAACAGTCAAGTGTGTTTAATTCTGTTAATGTGAGGATATATTTTAGTCGATCAGGTAATCTTTTATTTTTATTTAATAATCCATTTCCATTGTATTAAATATACAGAAAAGCAACAGAAAACATAAAGAATAGTTAACTCATAAAGAAAAGGTTCTCAAAATAATAAATACTTCGATTGTTTTTTTTCTTTTGACAATTCACTTTTCCCTAGTTGATTATCTAATTAGATTTCACTAGCTAATCGTTATCTAATGCTATGTGTTTCTGTGCGTTAATTTCATTCGTCGTAACACCGTTCTTTGTTTCTTTCCATATCAAGAGAGATTGAAAAATCGACTTTTTTTGCGCCAGACGGATCGAGCTGAAATTTTAGGATATGAATTATGACTAATAATTACACATCTTGTGAAAGTTTCATCTTCATACATATCATGGTTTCAGAGATATATATTTTTGTAGTTAGGTATAAGTGATTACCGTTTATTTCCATCGAACATAGCGCTCCTCGACTAAAACAATTTTTTTCGGAAANATAGGATTATGTCCGACGAAAAAAATTTGAATCTTCAGAAATTTTTTTCTATTCGTCTTCTTTTTTCAATAAATATTATAATGATTTTCAGTTTTGGTTTGAAAGTCGAGCAATTCGTAGATAAGGTCGAGACATAAAACGATTACGAAAATACTTCGATGTTAATTCTGTTGAGGATGATGAGCTATCTGAGGATGTAGAGGAGTTTTTTATTGATGGTGGTGATGATAAATCTATTAATGATACAGGTGGAGCTTTTTTATTGATGCTTGATTAGGGAGCTGCAAAATCACTTTTTTTAGTCCCGGTCCCGGTCCCGGTCCCGGTCAATTTTTTTTTCTCAGTCCCGGTCCCGGTCCCGGTCCCGGTCAAATTTTTTTCCAGTCCCGGTCCCGGTCCCGGTCTTTGACGATGGCTTCATTTCTAAAACCAAGCAAATTTTTTTACGATCTGTGTACTTTTATGAATACATCAAATTGACATAAATGATTTTGTTTGTGAACATTACCAGACTTCTTTTATATTCAGTGTTAAAATCGAATGTATACAAAATCGATATAAGTGTCTTTGAGTCGGTGTTACTTCAAGAATCAGTTTCATATGTCAAAATACAGATCGAAAGAACTGAAACTGATATTTTTTCGAACAAGTCTCGGAATGATTTTTCACAAGATTTAGTTTGAGTTTGTATATTTATTTTTCATATTCAACAATTATTAAAGTTCGTTCTCAAATAAAGTCAAGTACAATTAAAAAACTAAAGAGTTCACATTACAAATGGTAAAACAATGACAAAAACATGTACATGAAATGAAACTACACAGCTAATTGATTGTGTACTATAATTGTTTCTTACTATTCTTCATCATCACTAGAATTATTATGATTATCAATATCGTTATTATCAGCATCGAGTAAATGTTCATATAAACGTTTTTCACCTTTTTGAGCAGTTGAATCAACACTAGTATCAAGATTATTTGATGTTGCAATTTTACCAAAAATTTTCTTTAAAATTGCTACGTTCTTCTTAATAAACATCAATTTATCAACTTTTTGGGATGATAAACGGTTTCGCGTTTCAGTTACTGTATTACCACTAGCGGAAAATAAGCGTTCAGCTGCAGTATTAGTAGCTGGAACAATAAGTATATCACGTGCAATTGAATAAAGAACTGGATATATAAATTTTTGTCTTCTCCAAAAATCAAATAAATCTTCATTATCAATTAAACTGTCGATAGATTGTAAATATCTTTTTAATTCATCATTATTATCAGATGCTTTTGAAGTTGTAGAAATTTGATCATAACATTCAGATAAAAGATCTTTTGTATCAGTAGATGATATTAATATTGATTGTGCTGATGAAACTTCAAAATTAAATGATAAATCTGATTGAGAATCTGAAACATAGAAAACAGATATATATATAATATAGTCGTATCGATAAATTAATTTTATTCTATTATCAAAGAGTAAATATTGCTTACTATTTCGTTTATTAATTTCCTTTTTTATTAATTCGTAAGCCTTTTTTTATCTTTATTTGACAATATTTGTAAGTGTTTAAATTTTGGATGAAGAACAGTACCAATAAAATGTATATCATCAACTTCCCAGTATGTTGGAATTTTATTTTCAAAATATTTTTTAAACTTCATTATTGATTCTGGATCAGTAGGATTTGGTTTAGATATATTTATAAGACGTTGTTTAAGTGGTAAAACTAAAGAAATTGTTGGCGTTTTCTCTGCGCTTAGCATTTCTGTAACGTCAACAAAATATTTCAAATATTTAGCAAAAGAAATTAATTCATCAAAATCGATCTGAGCAAAAGTTAATTTTTGAGCTTTATCATTAATAACCATATTTAATTCAGGATATACATTGATAAAACTGGAGAGCATACTATATGCACTGTTCCATTTAATTTTGCAGAAAAGCTGAAGTTTGACAGATAATTTACACTGATTATGTGAAGATCTTAAATAAACTACAAGATCATGTATGCTATTAAATAATCGTTGAATATCTTCACAATCAGGATTAGGTATACAAAGTGAATGTTCAATGATTTTATTGATGAAATGAGCTGAACATCCTATTCGATTGATATCATATCGAAAAGATGCACGCATCTTGTTTTCATTGTCACATACAACATACTTTACATGATTCAATGGTAAATTGTATGATTCAAGTATTGAATCAGTAAATAATCGAACATTATCAGCAGTTTGAGATGGTAAATCAAATGGTTTACAGGCTAATACAAATACTAAAAGACCATATTCTTCTGAATATGTATGTAATGTAACACCACCATAACTTATTTTTGTTTGATACTCTGTCCAAAAATCGACAGTTATTACGAAATGATCAAGAGTTGACAAATATGAAATTAATTGTTCTTTGCGTGCGCTGTAGATTTTATCAATTTCTCTACTAATCTAAAATTACAAAAACCATAATGATGCAAATAATATTTAATATTAAATAAAAGAAATAGTCTTAACTTACCGTTGTTGGATCAGGTATAACTTCTTCAATCGAAACTGTTGCACCTAATTGACGACCAACTTTAAGTAAATTATTACCTAATTCTTTAAAACCATCACCACGACATACACTAAATGGTAAACTATCTACAGCACAACATTCAGCAAGAACGTTTGTTAATTTACGTTTTGTAGAATTAATTAATTGTTTTTTAAATTTATCGTTTGGTAAATAAAATGATTCAATTGACTGTTGTGTTGATGATGATGAGTGTTGTTTACATGATTTGTCATGTTTGTCCATTACATTAGTACCATCATTTGGTTTCCATGTCAAAATACAATGACATTTTATACATGATATAAAGTATTGAGGAGAATCATTAACAAATATTTGAAGATAATTGGCCCATTTTACACTTTTGGCATGCTTTGGTTTACGAAACGTAATAGATGAGCTGTTGGTATTGATCATCTCTAAAATTTGAGCTTTGTTATATGTATGTATGGTCGATGATGCCATCTTTGTTTATATAAGAATATTATCGAAATTTTAACAAAATTCAATGGTTATTTTTATTTATTCAACAGTTCAATGAAATACTTTCACCATCATTAGAAAAGATAACAAGAGAAAAAGAAGACGACACATACATATACATATATAGTCAGCTGATTATGACAAGAAGACAAAGAAAAGAAAGAAGATATTTTCTTTCTTTTCTTTGTCTTCTTGTCATAATCAGCTGACTATATATGTATATGTATGTGTCATCTTCTTTTTCTCTTGTTATCTTTTCTAATGATGGTGAAAGTATTTCATTGAACTGTTGAATAAATAAAAATAAACAGCGACACATCTATTCACTATTATCTGATAAGACTTAAATAAAGGAATAATCAAAGAATGAACAAATTAAATTTACGTATAGTGTCGTGTTGATTGTTTTATATGTATTCAAAAACCTCTGCAATTGGGAAATTCGGATTCTTGCAAACAGACTAGTAATCAGTAATGACTTTTATAGAAATAGCAAATAAAAATATCTGATTTACAGATCTTTAATCACGTCAAAATAATAAACGTGAAAATATATTGTATAAAAAACTGACCGGGACCAGTATGAGAAATTTTTAGTCCCGGTCCCGGTCCCGGTCCCGCAAAAATGTCAAATTTTGGTCCCAGTCCCGGTCCCGGTCCCGGCGGGACCGGGACCGGGACCGGGACCGGGACCACTTTGCAGTTCCCTA